ATCTGCCCCTAATAGCCGTCACTAAACCTGGCTATACGGTTTGTAAACATTAACGTGACCACAGCTCAGCAGACCATGTGGGGGTGGGGTAGGGTGGTAGTGATAGTGATAGAGAGAAAGAGAGGGGACTGTAAGGAGGCGCTTGCAGCTTGTTTTCTAACGGCTCGCAGAGGAGAATTATATATATAGATTATATAGCGGTCTAAAATGCTCAATAAAATGTTTCCATGGATCAATTTAGTAATAATAACAATTGAATATTCTATTGTCATCCAAAAACAAAGCTTCCCTGAAATTTTCATCGCGCTAGCTAACTGGGAAGTGCCAGAAATTTCGATCGCAAGATTTGATTGGAAAGACAGAGACGAAAGCAAGTTAAAGAAAACGTGGGAAAAACCAACGAAATAACAGAATAGATTGATACTAATTTTGATTAATGTGTTGACTGTACTAGTGTTAGACCTCTTCTAAATAGAATACGAATACAATTATACGTAATATAAGTTTCATGAATTTCGGTATGACCTCTTTCTGTTCCCGTGGTAATAGGTAACTCTTCACTGTATCTAAACAATAATTAAATTAAAACTAAGTTATATAGCACTTTTCATCATGATTATAATTTTATGTTGTAGAAGTATTAAATTTAACTATTATTTTAGTATTCACTTCTCATTTTATTTGAATCAAGCAAATACTGTCGAGGATATTTATAATTCATTTTTATTGTTCAATACTCTTTAAGTGAAAAAAAATTAAGACAATGAAATATATATTTTATTTTCGTCGATTTCCTACTATAACATCTAAAAGAACAATGCCGCTCTTTAAATATTAATTACCATATTTATTTTTGAAAAAAAACAACAATTGCTTAAAAAACAATCACTTAACTATCCCCCTCAGCTGCGTTATCGTTGGTGTCACACTCCTTTCTTCTTCTTCGTTCTTAATTTTAGTGTAGGAAAGGATCCCCTCCGGCATAATTAAGAATACGTGCCAACTTGTTATGCGCCATTGAGGCCATTGACTCCGATTTCAGCCTGCTTTTCTTTTTGGATTTGCTTCCAACCAAGAACAAACTACAAGGCAGAAGTTGTTTGATTTTGGAGTTGTCTCTCCTAGAAGAGTGGCTGTCCCCAGCTAACAAGCCTCACCCGCCCGAGAGTTTGAACTCGAGACTTTTCGGTTTAGCAACCATGAGCTTTACCAACTCGACCACGCTGATCCCTGGTGTCACACTGACACGGCGAGAAAGTGCTAACGTTGCTGAGCGGAAGTGACACCCATGCTGCCCAGCCCACTCAAGCAGTGCAGTGTCGAAGAAAAGATCCCGCCGTCTGCTTCATCAATTATTGACGTCTGGGATTCAGCAAAGTCTTGACCGAAGCCCTACGCTTTTGAGTCGGGAACCTATTTCTGGTGCAGGTTGTTAAAAAATACTTCTGTATAATGTAAGGCTTTTTAAAGATTTTTTTTTCGGCACCCTAACCTTTAACGTCATGAATTGTAACATAGTGGTTCAACCGAACCCTTCCTCTTCATACAATGTCTCACATTATTACACCCGAACACTCCTTTTTCATACAACCCGTCGGACATTGTTATACCCGAACCAGTGGCGTAGGCAGGTGGGGTTAGGGGGGGGGGGTCATAAACCCCATAGACCCCTCGGTATATAGAAAAAGTATGAGGGGGGTGGAAATCGAAAGTTTGAGGGGGGTGCAAATCGAAAGTTTGAGGGGGTGGGTGCAAATCGAAAGTTTGAGGGGGGGGGGGGGTGCAAATCGAAAGTTTGTCCCCGGGTAAAAATTGGAACCCCCCCCCCACCCCCAACCCCCTTGAGACGATCCTGGCTACGCCACTGGCCCGAACCCTTCTTCAAACAACCCTTCACACATTGTTATACCCGAACCTTTTCCTTTCATACAACACGTAGCACTTTTTTTTTACAGCGAAACCCTTTTTCTTTATAGGCCTACTACCTCCTTCCCTACGAAAAATATATTTTTTTCTAATATGCTTTTTCTTTTTTTAATATTCACTGAGGTGGATCAAAGTTAGCTAGATTGATTAGGTTTTGTTTCAATCTGCGCCAGAAATAAATCAATGACGTGCGGTATCAAATCTATTTTCATTTAAAAAAAAATAGTTCTCTACAAAAATGTGTAGTCACACTTTCTTCATCACGCGGCTTCGTCGTCTTGTCATAAAAGTCTAAATTTATCTCAACTGATCTGCTACTGTATGAGATCATGCTAGTTGATGCAGTTAACGCGAGTCAATTATGGGCAATTACTGAACATCAGGGAACTAAAATTACTTGAAAACCTCTGACAGTCTCGCCTTGTTATAGTGCTATGGGTGGGATATAGAAACAAATTGTAGAGGACTGCAATAACTTGAGAACCTCTGACAGGCTCGCCTTGTTATAGTGGTACGGGTGGGATATAGAAGCGTATTGAGCACCAAGAGACTGCAATAATTTGAGAATCTCTGAAGCCTCGGTTACACGCAGTGGGGTGGGTGGGGTAAAGAAACGTATTGAGCACCAAGAGACTGGACTGCAATAACTTGAGATCCTCTGGCAGGCTCGGCTAGAAAAAAAAAACTTATTGAGCACCAATAGACTAATAGCTTGAGAACCTATGACATGCTGGCTTTGATGCAATGATATGGATGGGGGTGAAAAAACGATTGGAGCACCAAGGACTGCAATAACTTGAGAACCTACGGCAGGCTCGGTTTGTTGGAGGTATTAGTGGAGTAAGGAAAATTATTGTAGAGGACAAAGAAACTAAAATAACTTGAGAACCTCTGACAACCTCGGTTTGACGCAGTGTGCGGGTGGGGGTAAAGAAACATTAAACACCAAGGGACTGCATTAATTTAAGAACTTCTGGCAAGTTCAGCTCGATGCAGCGATATAGGTCAGGTAAACCAATTTATTTAACAACAGGAAACTGTAATAACTCGAGAACCTTTGAAATGCTGCCCTTAATCCAGTAATATGGGTCAGGTAAAGGAAATTGTTGAACACCAAGAGACTGGAATAATTTGAGAACCTCTGACAGACTTGGCTTGACGCAATGGGTGGGTGGGGTAAATAAATTACGTAGAGGACTGAAATAACCCTAGAACCTCTGACAGACTTGGCTTGACGCAATGGGTGGGTGGGGTAAAGAAATTACGTAGACGACTGAAATAACCCTAGAACCTCTGGCAGCCTCGGTTTGATGCAGTGGGTGGGTGGGGTAAGACCAGTTGGTGGGTGGGGTAAAGAAATGACGTTGAGGACTGAAATAACTCTAGAACCTCTGGCAGCCTCGGTTTGATGCAGTGGGTTGGTGGGGTAAGACCAGTTGGTGCGTGGGTAAAGAAATTACGTAGAGGACTGAAAATAACCCTAGAACCCCTGGCAGCCTCGGTTTGATGCAGTGGGTGGGTGGGGTAAGACCAGTTGGTGCGTGGGGTAAAGAAATTAGACGACTAAAATAACCCTAGAACCTCTAACAGCCTGGGTTTGACGCAATGGGCTGGAGTGGATGAAGAGAAGCGAACAAGCTGACATCTAGCATTAATCTCCAACAAAGATTTTTCCCAACACAATCATTCAGAACACGAATCATCTATTAACGGATAATAAGTTCAAGGAAGAAACCGAAAATAAATGTACTTTTTGTCGCGTCGTTTTTTTTTAGAGAGGATTCCTCTTGAAATGTGACATTTATAATATCAGATGTTGCTTCTAAAAATGTCGAATCGTGTTGGAGTTTCCCAAATTTTTTACTTGCATTGACCACGTGATCTGTACTTCCTGTTTTTTTTTTTCAAAACACCAGGGATAAGTTAAAAAGATAGTGCCGGAAAAAAAAATCGCGATATTTGGTGCAACTTAATATGGTGGAACTGTAGGCTCAAAATTAAAATTTAAACATCGTACAGAAAAATAATCTCACACTTTATAATCTTATTGTCCGAGACTTATCAGTTTGTTTAGCATTATGTAATTTATTAGCCTGCTTCTGAATTTGATCAAAATATTACTGGACAACTTACATTATATCGAAAATTGTGTTTTCAAATATCAAGAATTTTCCGTAAACCAGAGTTTCGGTGAGTTAGTCTCAGGGGTTCACTCTTCTAGGAGAGACAAATCCAAAATCAAACCTCTGCCGTCTTGTAGTTTGTTCTTGTTGGACAAAGGCTATGGAAGCAAATCCAAAAAGAAAAACAGGCTGAAATCGGAGTCAATGGCCTCAATGGCTCATAACCAGTTGACACGTATCCTTAATTGTTTTGGAGGGGGTTCCTTTCCAACACTAAAATTGAGAACGAAGAAGAAGAAGAAGGCTCATAAAATCGGATTTTCTTAGTGTTCACAATAGAACTATTAGTAAGGGTTGGGTGCGTTTATGATACTTGTGGGGTTTGGTACCTATAAAAAGGTTAGAACCATTGTACTAAAGCTAACTGTTCTCTTTTAGTGTGAAAGTTCTCTGACTCTCAAAGACAAATATTCAAATGTTCATTAATTCATTTCATAATTATAAGCCAATGTCTTTTTTCGCATATAAGAAAATCAAAACATGAACGTAAAAATATATTGTGGTCAAGATTTGAGAGACCTTGATGAACTAGCTGGGTGAATATTGATTTATTTACCTGTAATGCTCATTCATGAGATGAAAGGACATTATTAAATACTCGTTTATCGCCCTTGGGAATTTATAAGTAGTTCTTGTTGTCATAAAGCGTTCGTCTGTTCCATGTTGAATATTCGATTTCCGTAAAACATATTGACATCCACTGCGGCAATTTGGATTCAAATACAAAGTTAAAAATAATTTGGGTTTTAACCCAATATAGAAGATACGGAAACACATTTAACCAAGTATTGATTACATTTACAAAGCATGTTATACGAGGACGTATAAACGGATGGGTACGTTATGTGAATAAGGTTAGCTAGTACGGGACAAGTAGATCGAATGAGCTCAATGGATGAGGAGAGGAAGACAAGACAGCAAGACAGGACAAGAAGACAGGGCAGGAAGACAGGACAGGAAGACAGGAAGACAGACAGGAAGACAGACAGGAAGACAGGACAGGAAGACAGGACAGGAAGACAGGACAGGAAGACAGGACAGGAAGACAGGACAGGAAGACAGGACAGGAAGACGGGACAGGAAGACAGAACAGGAAGACAGGACAGGAAGACAGGACAGGAAGACAGGACAGGAAGACAGGACAGTCTCAAGCAAATCACAGTAACATTAAGGGGTAAACTACTTGAAAACTAATCCGTTAATATTTACAAATTACTTGCAAACATTATTATCTTTATTTAATTAAGTAATCTGACATGTAACCTTGGTATATGAAGGGATAGTTTGGTCAACAATATACCTAACTGCTTTTACTTTCCCTAAACTGAGTTAGGTACCCCTCAGATCTGAGTGGACTCAGGGACGATCTACTCTACTTGGATTTTTACTTGATGCTTTCTGGTTAGCTATTTAGCGCTCTACCGCTAGGCCACGACGTCCCCTATCTCTATTTAACGCATATTCTTTTAACCATAGGACTTTCCTGTGCAAAATGTGTATCTTAATCTCAGACTATTCTTAACCAAAGGAACCCACTTAGCAGAGGCGTAGCGACCCTTCCCGGCGCCCGGGGACAAACTTTTCGATTTGCACCCCTCCCCTCAAACTTTCGATTTGCACCCCCCCTCAAGATTTTGATTTGCACCCCCCTCCCCCTCAAACTTTCGATTTGCACCCCCCCCCTCAAGATTTCGATTTGCACCCCTCAATTTTTCAATTTATTTTTCCAACCCATTTTGGCGCCCCCTATGGTCGGCGCCCGGGGACATGTGTGTGTGTGTCCCCCCGCCCCCCCCCCCCCCTCGCTACGCTACTGCTGCTTAGCATTGGTACGCTTAAAAAATTAACCTTGAACCGTACCTAGATAAAAGAATGCTCTTAACCTTGTACTGTTCTTAAATAAGGACTTACATTTAACCTTGAGACTTTCTCTCAACAAAAGAGTTCCAGGGCCACACACTTGAGAGAATTATCATGGGATTTCCTCCCTTGACCAACCGTTTAACTTTCTAACCCTTACAGTACGTCATTTAAATATTTAATGACTGCAACTGTTTAAATCAACAAGGGTTTTTCCCTGGACACTGGCACTACGTCATTTATCTACTACAGTTTAAGTATGGTTCGCATTTTACCTATTACAAGATTCAACTCTGGACACTAGAGCTACGTCATTTATCCAGTACAGTTATAATATTTTACCTCTTACAACATTCAACTCTGGACACTAAAGCTACGTCATTTATCCACTACAGTTTATCTATGGTTCGGCCTTTACCTATTAGAAGATTCAACTCTGAACACTAGAGCTACGTCCTTTATCCGGTACAGTTTTAATCTGGTTCGCATTTTACCTCTTACAACATTCAACTCTGGACATTTAAACTACTTCATTTATCTACTTCAGTTTAGATATTGTTCGCATTTTATCTATTACAACATTCAATTCTGGAAACTAGGGCTACGTCATTTATCCAATTTACAGTTTAAATATGGTTCGCATTTTACCAACTACGACATCCAATTTAACTCGAGGCACTAGCGCGACGCTTTATCCAACTACAATACATAATTGGTTCACGCTATACCTACTAATATGTTAAAAACCACTGTCAAAAAATGTGATGCCAGTCATTGCGAAATGAGTTATTTCTTCTGAATGTCTTGGAAAAGGTACATGAGTTTAACACACTACATCAAGGTAGCACACTACATCAAATTAACACACTACATCAAAGTAGCGCACTACATCAAATTAACACACTACATCAAAGTAGCAAAGTGCATCAACGTAGCACACTACATCAAATTAACACACTACATCAAATTAACACACTACATCAAATTAACACACTACATCAAAGTAGCACACTACATCAAATTAACACACTACATCAAAGTAGCAAAGTGCATCAACGTAGCACACTACATCAAATTAACACACTACATCAAAGTAGCACACTACATCAAATTAACACACCACATCAAATTAACACACTACATCAAAGTAGCACACTACATCAAATTAACACACTACATCAAAGTAGCAAAGTACATCAACGTAGCACACTACATCAAATTAACACTCTACATCAAATTAACACTCTACATCAAAGTAGCACACTGCATCAAAGTAGCGCACTACATCAAAGAAACACATTACATCAAATTGAACTCTACATCATAGTAGCACACTATATCAAAGCTGAATTCTGAATGTCTTGGAAAAGGTACATGAGTTTAACACACTACATCAAGGTAGCACACTACATCAAATTAACACACTACATCAAAGTAGCGCACTACATCAAATTAACACACTACATCAAAGTAGCAAAGTGCATCAACGTAGCACACTACATCAAATTAACACACTACATCAAATTAACACACTACATCAAATTAACACACTACATCAAAGTAGCACACTACATCAAATTAACACACTACATCAAAGTAGCAAAGTGCATCAACGTAGCACACTACATCAAATTAACACACTACATCAAAGTAGCACACTACATCAAATTAACTACGACATCCACTACATCAAATTAACACTCTACATCAAATTAACACTCTACATCAAAGTAGCACACTGCATCAAAGTAGCGCACTACATCAAAGAAGCACATTACATCAAATTGAACTCTACATCATAGTAGCACACTATATCAAAGCAACACAATATATCAAACTGACAAACTATTTTAGTTTGGTATAAAGTACGCCATTTCGGCTCAGTTCAATATAATGTTTAGCCTTAATGACACCACTTATATGTTATCTAGATACTTAGATATAAATGGTTCACATTACAATCTTTGTTCTTTTTCATTTTTGCACTTTCTCGTATACGAAGTATTGTAATAGTACAAAAAATCGAAATTGAGATTTTCACAAATTTCGCCGTTTTACACCTCTCTGAGTCGGAAAAACTTAGTTTTGCAAATTTTTCGGTATGTCTGTGTGTGTGTGTATGTGTATGTGTATGGGTGTTTAAGTCTGTGAACCCGATAACTTGAGAACTTTTACAGCTAGGTTGATGACATTTTATATAGAAGTATTATGTTAAATTTGTATAAACTTTTTAGCGATTTCCGGTAACCAGAATTGAAATTCTATTCTCTTTCGGTTTTTAAAAAGCCGATAACTTGAATACTGTTTATGACAGCGATATTTCTCATGGTGGTAAAATATCTAATTCTCTGTTTTCTGTCAAATTTTGAGTAATTTCCGGTGACCGGAACGGAAGTAGTACTTTACGTTACATCCGATTTCTAAAAAAAAAACGCATATGAATTTATATAAGTACTAATGTTCCTCACTATTATACACGCCTTGCTTGTGGTTTACATGGTGCGCAATTATGTAAAAATTGAATAAAAAGCATGTCTATATCCCGAGTTGCCATCCCCCTTAGTGTTATATAAGAATATTCGAGAAAGTTTAGGGGAGTTCACTCCCGCTTTTTTTCCCCACTGAAACTTGTGGTAGTGCCAATATTGTTTTTATTCGTTATCATGGTGTTTGCAATACTGACAAAATTGTTTTTATTGCCATAGAGTTTACGCTACTTCAAGTACTTGCAATAATGACAGAATTGTTTTCATTGTCATAGAGCTTGCACTATTTCACCTTCTTGCACTACCGAAATTGTTTTCGCTGTATAAGGTTTTCGCTACAGGCAATCCATGTTTATGTTATCCAACTCTAAACGTACTCCGATGAACGCCCCTTCCGCCACACAACGCTCCGCTGGTCTGCCGCTAGTCACAGAGTCTGTTCGGAGTCTCCAAGGAATCGTAAACTTCCCATCAGATACAATCTGCTAATAGCCTCGTAAGATTGGTGCCAGAATAAAAAATGTGTTTACAGGTTAAAAATAACATCTGTGTTAATTTATTCTGAAAACGTTGGATGATACTCGCATTCGTCGTAATAAAAGTCTAGATTAGTAGGTCTAAATGTTCACCTCAACATTAATGTAGGTCTTGATTAGTTGGTCTACATTTTCATGTCAACATTAATGTGGGTCTAAATTTTCATGTCGACAATCAATTTGGGTCTAGATAAGTGGGTCTACATTTTCACAGTAACATTTGTGTAGGTCTAAATTTTCATGTCGACATTCAGTGTGGGTCTAGATTAGTGGGTCTCAATTTTCTTGGTAACAATCAATAGGGCTCTCGATATGTTGGTCTAAATTTTATTGTTAACAACTAATGTAGATCTAGATTAATGTGTCTAAAATGGCACGTGCACATTACCACTGTAAGTATTATGTGAAAAGTAGGACCAGTGCTATTTATATATGGACAGTGAAAGTAGTCGACTATTGTCTTCAAATTATACATTTTAGTATTGACTTTCAATCACATATACCGTAACACTGATAAGTTGTTTTTCCCCAGAAAATAAGATAAATTCTCTAAGATTTCCAAATAACACATTTGAAATAAATGGAAAACTCATTCACATTAACACGAAAACTTTGAGATCGTCTAATTTTAATTCATTTCACTAAGTCTAGTTGTTAAGAAAGATAATTTCCTATCAAACACGTTCCGCAGAAAATATAGCATGTATATTTATCAAAGAAAGGATACCCGTATTGATCCACTACAGCTCACCACACCTAACCTAGCCTTGTGCTTAGTCAGATGAAAACAACTGCAGACATATAGTAAACATCTTCAGCAGCGGTCCCACCCCACCCCATAAATGGTCCCACCCCACCCCATAAAACATGATTGATAACTCAATGTCTGGCTGAAATATGGCCGCCCAGCCATCCACGTGACCAGGTCAACCAAACGATGTATACTTCCGGTGAAGTAGGTTTCAGGGACTGTGAAGTCAATGTGTGTTTGTGATGTATGGTCTTCATATTGATTCGGTTGTATTGCTATGCGTGGAGTGGTTAATTTCACGAAGGTGTTGTTTTATTTTTCTGGTGTTCAAGTTGTTTTCGACGTGGCCTAGATAAGCTACCTATTTGAAAAATAAGTCAGAATCGGTTTAATTGCGATGCGTTGATTGGTTAATTTCACGAAGGTGTTGTTTTAGTGTTCTGGTGTTGAAGTTGTTTTTGACGTGGCCTAAATAAGTTGCCTGTATGAAAACTAAGTCGGAATTAAAAAAAAAATATGCTGCCAGTTTGAACACTAAGTC